CACCTGGACAGGTAGGTGGTGAAGCACACGGGCCCATCACAGCACAGAGCACCACTCAGCAGTGACAAGGCAGGGGCCACGATGTGCCCAGCCACCTGACAGGTCTCCAGGGACCATGCAGGGTGAAGACAGCCAGTTCCAGATGGCCGCAGGCTGCATTCCTGGGGTCCTCCAGGCCCAGGGGATCCAGAGGCCGGCTTAGGAAGAGACTCTATAGGCAGGATTAGCCCACACCATCGCGGAGGCCGAGAAGTCCCAAGACCTGCCACCTGTGAGCTGGAGGCCTGGGAGAGCCAGAGGCGGTTCCAATCCAGCCCAAAGGCCTGAGAACCAGGGGCGCAGATGGCGTGAATCCTGGCGAGCCCAAAGGCCCAAGGACCATGAGACCCAATCTCAGAGGACAGAAGCTGGACAGTCTAGTCAGGGAGCTAGAGGACTTGCCCTTCTTCCGCCCTCTGTCCTGTTGGCCCTGGATGGCTGGAGGAGCCTGCCCTCACTGTGGACAGAGCTTCCTGACTCAGCCTACAGATTTGGAAGCCGATCTCTTCAGGGAGCGCCCTCACAGGCATGCCCACAGTACTGCTTCTCCCTCCCTGGGCCTCCCTGTCCAGCCATGCGGGTGTGTGCGAGTGAGCAGCGCACACCTTGTGACTCCTTTCTATGCAGCGGTTCTGGGTGGCAAATGTTCTGAAAAGAAGAAGAGTGGTGCCAGGGGCTAGAGATGGGGGCAGGGTGGGTGCGACTATGTGGCACACAGCGAGACGGGTGGAGGCAATGTTCTGTTGTTGTTGTTGTGACTTATAAACAATAGACATTTATTTCTAACAGTTCTGAAGACTGGCAAGTCCAAGAGCAAGCGCAAGTAGATCTGAAGCAGGCCACTTTCTGGTTCACAGATGCAGGCTGCTTTCCCAGGGCAGAAGGGGTAAGAAGTTTCTCTCTAGCCTCTTTTGTGAGAGTGCTAATCCCATTCATGACACCTCTGCCCTCTTTTTTTAAGTAAGAATTTTTAAAATTTGTTCTTTATATTATATATGACAGTAGAATATATTTTGACATATTATATATATATATAAAGTGTCCTGTATTCTGGCCATGGTGGTAGATACTGGACCTGGGCAGGGGATACAGTTCTATGGTACTGCATGCATGCCCACTGAATGGGTACGAGTAAACTGGCGAATCAGAGCAAGGTTGGCAGAGCGCGTTGATGTCAGGCCTGGCAGAGAGAGCTGTAATCTTGTAGAATGTTACCATGGGGGACACTGAGTCAAGGGTACCAGGGATTTCTCTGTATTATTTCTCATGCTGCATATGGATCTACAGTTATCCAATAAAATTTTCAATTAAGCTGGATGTGGTGGTACATGCTACTAGAGAGGCCGAGGCAGGAGGGTGGAAAGTTCCAGGCCAGCCTTGGCAACCTAGTGAGATCCCAATCTCAAAATAAAATGTAGAAGGGCTGGGGATGTGGCTCAGTGGTAGAGAGCTCTCGCCTAGCACGTGTGATGCCCCGGGGTTCAATCCCCAGTACTGCAAAAAAACTAAAATTAAAAAACTTTTAAATTCAACTCAAAATAGGTCCAACAATTCTTTATTCTGCAACCTGATTTCAGTTACTTCATTTTGGTTTTGCTGTTCCAAAAAAAAAAAAAAGATGAACAGACCAGCATGACATCATTGGTAAATAAACACACTGGTACTCGCTCCCCACTTTGGCTGGAAACCCGCTGTGGGAAGACTCTGGAGCCCTGGTCTTGGTTGGATCTGGGCCTTGCTGTTCGTCACCACCCCCACGGGAGCACATTGCCATGAAGGTCATCTCTCCAGCCAGCACTACATTGGCTAAGTCCTGTGTTTGCAAAATTGAATTCTGCCATGATGGAGGGATATCAGCAGGTGTCGCACCCAGATTACAACAGGTCCTGTCCTTGATCATTTCTGCAAAATTCAGGCTTGCTCTATTTTGCTTCCCCAGCCCAAGAGCCTTCTACTCTCTGTACCCTCTGGGGGGTCAGTGGAGAGTGGTGCTCTTAGGGGTGCTGCAAACCCCTAAGAGCCTTATACTCTCTGCACCCTCTGGGGGGTGCAGTGGAGAGGGGTGCTGCAAACCCCTCAGACTGCAGCTCCTGGGCCCTCTGCTCCCCACATCCTGGAAGGTTTCTTGAAAAGGTCACCAGCAGGAAGCCAACAGCCTATCTGCTGCTTCCTTGGCGAGTCTCAGCAGAACCCTGAAGTTGGGCACAGGACCCTAGGGGCCAAACACCCCCATGCATAGCAGGCATCTGGGCTGCCCCTACAGAAACCCCTGAGGATCAGCAAACCCATTCACCAGCTCGGACCATAACCCATCTGTCCACAGATGGTGACATGGCTCTGCAGCTGGTCAGCTGGTGATGCTCCTGACCATTCTTGCTCCCTGCTCCTGGGTTGCCTGCCTTGCCCTGGCCTTGGGCCTGGATGGCCCGATTTCTTCTATACACAGGCATTCACCACGTCTATGGCTCTCAGCAGCTCCCTGCCCCCCACCCCTCACTAAACCCCACCAGGCTGGGCCCCAGGGCTCTCCACCAGTGGCCACATCTGCACGGCCTTTTGGGTTCCCGGGCTGGTCCTCACGAGGCCTCCACCCTGCTTGCAATGCACCCTGCAGTCCAGGCCTTTCCTCACCCCGAGAGCTCACAGCTTTATCCACACTTCCCTCTAACTGCCACCTCCTCCACAGGTCCCTCGACTGGGGCTCCCACCCTGCTCTCCAAACCTCCCCTCTGATCTGCAGCCCACTGAGGAAGGGATTCGATCCACTGAAGCCCCACCTGCAGGGCTGAGCTGCCGTGGAGACCTGTCTCATCTTTCACCGTCCTGGCTGGCACCTGCAGCCCCTACACCCTCCCCAGCTCAGGAAAGGCAGGTGCCATCTCCCGGGCCAGTGCAGGTGGACCCTTGGTTCCTGCTTAGGTCAGCAGGCAAAGGATTGCTCACTGAATCCCAGGAAGGGAAGAAAGGCTCAGACCTTATCTAGGCTCAGACAGCTCTGGGAGAGGTGGGGGGCCTCCCCCCTCCCTGGTGTGCCTCTCCCTGGGCCAGGAAGTTCCATCAGATACACCTTCCGCTCCTCCATTCCGCTCCAGGGTAGGGATTGGGCTGTTCTTTCACGATCGTGTTCCTGGTGCTCAGAGTAGTAGCTCAATAAATACCAACAGAATGAAAAGCAAGGTTTTTGTCTAGAGCCTGAGGGAAGATGAACTCAGAACACGAGGCCCCAGTGTGGATTGGGATGGGGCTGGGGCTCCAGGGAGGTGGACCCAGGCCTTCCAGCTGAGGATGCCTTCCCCACCTGGCCTGTCCCCCTGCCAGCTCTGCAGCATCCCTTCAGGAGTGTCTGGTCTGCTGTGCCCACGGTGGGGAAATACCTGGTGGTCAGCGGTCCTGGGGCCTCAGTTTCCCCAGCTCTGTAATGGGGCTGGGCTGGGTGAGAGCAGGACACAGCCGGAGGAGGGCTCTGAGGAGCTTGCGGCTGGCAGTGCCCAGGCACCCTTGCCGCAGCCGGGCCCCGGAGTGCCAGGCTGGATGGAGTGGGAAGGAGCTTTCAGAGCAGAACTGACACTTGGATGAGCTAGTCTCATAATCATCCCGTCTGCACAAAAGCCTGTCAGGGGCACCAAGACAGTCGGGGCCACCACACCACGGAGTCATGTGCAAGAGCCTCAGGGCACAGCAGAGGCAAGGCCCGGCAGCCTGGTGGGGGCTGGGCAGGCTGAAAAGATGGCAGCACAGCCCAGGGCCTGACCTCGAGCCACTGCCCCTGCAGCAGACCTTTGCACAAACAAGGCACCTCCAGGAAACAGGCGAGCCCAGGCCCACTGGGACCCCTAGACCTTCACTCCTTCAGAGACCACCACCACCACCTGGCCTGGCTCATCTTGAGGCTGCATATAAAATGGGGCAGCTGAGCATCTAGTGTGCACCTAGGACAGCCCAGGGGAGGTTGTGGGTGCATCCAGCCCAGGGGGGAGGCCTGACAGCCTGCCCTTGGCACCCTCTTGCCCTGGCCTTCAGGGTGGCCTGCAAGGGCAGACCCTGCCCATCCATTTTAACCCCGGCGGCCTGGCCTTCCAGGCAGGTTTCTCCCCACGTTCTGCCCCCAGCCCGCCTCAGGAAGGGGTCACCAAGGAGAGGCACAAGGGGCTGGGGAGAGCCACGGGGCAACAGGTGGCTAGGACCTGTGTGGCCTGAGCCTATTCCCAGGCACCTCAGATTGTAGTGACCCCTTTGCCAGCCCCAACTCCAGGACAGAGAATATGGGTGTTCAGGATGGGACTGTGGCCTGATGCCCTGCAGCCACCAGCCCCTTCCAAACACACCATGGTGCCATGTCAAGGGCTAGGCCAACCCGTACAGGTCTTCAGAGGCTCCTCCCATTCAGCCGAGAGCCTTCTAGAAGCAGTCAGTCCTGGTGTCCCTCAATGCTTTGGTTGGGCTGGGGGCTGCATGTCCCAAGAGGGAGCAAGCAGCATGAGGGCTTTGGGATGAGGACTCATCAGAAGGTAGGAGTCCCCAGGAACCTGAGCTGCTGGCTAGCTGCCCACCCTGACGTCAGGAACCCCCTCCTCTCCTACAGCCTCCCCTGTATACCCAGTTTCCAAAGGCAGTTTGGGTGCAGACCCTCTATAGGACCACGCAGGCCCTGAGCTCCATGCCCGTCCTGGTGGGCAGAATGGGCACAGATCCAGCGCCCACACACCAGTGCTCAAGCAGGAGAGGCCCGAGGGGCAGGGCCTTCCCTCATGGAGAGGCCCTTCGCCTCGTCTTTCCCCAAGACTGGAGTCTGGGGTGGGTGCAGGGAGGCCTGGTTAGTCTCGCACCAGGGGCTCCACAGGCTCCAGGACACCTGCCACTGCAAAGCCAGCCAGCCCCTCCCTCCCCTCTGGGGACAGCTGTGGGTGCTGGGTCTTCCTTCCCAGCCTTCCCAGCAGCGCTGCCTCCTCATCGGGCTCGGATTCTGTTAAAACTCTTGTTTTAATTTCCTGTAAAATCAGGGGAGATGAGTCCTGCTGGTGTGAGCGCCTTGTGGGTTGAGGGTACACTGCATGTGTCCGTTGCACAGTCGTGTAACGCGCTTTCCAAGGAGCTTTGATGGAAGAAGGGGTCTGGCAAGGCCAAGAGCCCCAGAAAGCACGAGGTCAGATCCTGGTCGAGCCCTTGGGCCAGAGCCTGCCACTTCCTAGGTCTCTGTGCGTCCTTCCTGGGTGGGCCCTAGACAGAGGCGAATCCCCACACAAGGCAGATGTCCCAGCCTGGTGAGGCCTGCCCTCCACAGGGGGTGGTGGGTGACGGTCACAGAAGGCCAGCCTGGGGGAGAGAATAGAAAGGCGCGGGAAAGCCTGGTGCTGCCCTGCCGGCCCTCTGTCTCCCGCCACACCCCCTGGCTCCCGATCTGGCGCTCACCCCAACCAGCATTCTGCCCGGTCATTTCCAGGGCTCCTGAGCTGCAGGACATGTTAGTCTCATGCCCTGCGGTCATCTCGTGTCCTCTCCTGAAGAGGGAAGAAATGCATGAGCTTTGCCTTGAGGCGCCAAACCCCCCCTGGTTTAGGCGCCCCCTGGTGCCAGTCTCCCAGCCGGCTTGGCACAGGGGCGGGCATGGCCCTGCTGGTCCAGGGCCCAGGGCTGTGCTCAAGTGCCCTGCGGGGCAGTTGTGCCTTTGCTGTCCTATTTGTGCCCTGTTCTAAGGGGGCAGGTGGGAGAAGCCTCTTCCTCTGGGGAGGGTCAGCCTTTCTGCTTGTCAGGCCCTTGGTGGATGAGGTCCACCCCCATCAGGAGCCTGCTTCACGCCACCTACCAACCAGAGGCTGAACTCACCCGGAGACATCTGCCTTGACAGCGCTGGGCACCAAAGTGACAGATCCGAGAGCCAACTAGAGGCCACATTCTGGCTCATGGCTTTGGAGGGGCCACGATCAGCTGACCCCTCTGCTTTTGGGCCTGTGCCGAGGCCCCTTCATGCGGAGGGCCACGGTGCACAACCTCTCTCCTCCTGGCAGGAAGCAAAACAGTGAAGAGAGTGCGGGGCCACTGTCCCCCCAAGGGCACCCCAATGACCTGAAGACCTCCCACGAGGGCCCAGCTCCTAAAGGTTCCACCATCTCCCAACAGTGCCACCCCAAAAACAAGCCTTCAACACATGGCCTTTGGGGGATATTCTGGATCCAAAACTATGGCACACGGAGAATCATGTCTGACCAAACGCCTGGAAACCCTGTTGCCGAGCCAGGCCAAGGCATGAAACTCGGGGGGATTTCTGCAGGCACGGCAGCTGATGCTCCTCCACGGCCCTGGCCCAGGCAGAGCCCAGGGAGCAAAGCCCCCGTCGTCCCACCCCCGGGCTTTGGCCAGGTGACATGAGGCCAAGCTGGTGCCAGGGGAGGAGCACCCTGGCAGAGCCAGGTCCCCCTTCCTAGGCCCCCTCTGGACTCTGGCTTGTCTCCCCCAACTGCAGCACGGGGTCCCTCCGATTATGGTGTAGGCTGGCCGTGGAAGGGGAAGGGGAAGAGCTCAGCAGCCCCAGCAGGGCCTCGCTTCCAGCTCTGGGCGCAACGTGCCCTCAGGGGAGTGGATGGAGCCAGGGCCTTCTCGGCAGCTGCTCTGTCCATCAGGGCTGAGCTAGGACTCTCCCTGGCTGCTTCTCCAGAAGAGCCCAGGGTGCCCAGCAACAGCTTTTCCTGTCCTTCGTGTCTCTCATGGACAGCGAGTAGCAGGGGCTAGCATAGGGACCCAGGAAGGGCTCCCGAGAGTTTCCATGTCCCTGTCAAAACTAGGTCCTGGGGACTGGGTCTTAAGCCCAAAGGTAAGGGCAGAGCCACTGCAGAAGCCAGGCTGAACTGAGGCAGCCAGAGCGCCAGGGCATGAGCAGGACCAGGGCCGGCTTGGGCCTCTGCTGCCCTCTCTGCCGTTGAGTGTCCTGCTTTGCTGTCCCTGCAAGGCCATAGGATGTGGGTCAGACTTGAGCTCCTGCAGACGCAGCCCTAGAACTCGGTGCCTGCACACAGGTCACAGCTGTCCCTGTCCCAGGACTTGATCAGAAGAAAACCTGAGTCTCCAGTTAAAGAACTACTGTTGACTTTCCTTCCAGGTGAACTGACCGACGTAAAGTCCTGACTAAACACACAAAAAAACAATAAACCTTTTTATCCTAAAATAAAGAAACCCCACAAGCCAAAAAAGATGCTGCATTAGTTAGGACTGCCACATGCCCCTTGCCACACCACAGCTCAATCCCCAGATGGAAGATGGAACTGCTGTCCCGGCTACTGTCACCTCCTTGTGTTAAAGCTATTATCACCCGAACGTGCTCCTCTAGAAAAGGGCAGTTAGCCTGGTGGTTCCTGGGGCAGCCCAGGACCGCCCAGGAACCTTCCAGTTCAGGGTGGGGACAGAGCTGGCAGCCTCTGTCCCAGGGGGTCTTCCACAGAGAGGCCTGGATATGGGAAAGGACGACCCTGGAGCCAGAACGTCCATAATGGTCACATCAACACTCCCCCAATGACAACATTATCACTGCAGTACTAGGGGTGGCCAGGAGGGTTCTACCTCTGAGCTACATCTCCAACTCTTTTAAAAATTTCTATTTTGAGATGGGGTCTGGCTAAGTTGCTGAGATTCCAGTCCCTGGGATGACAGATGGGTGCCATAAGGCCTGGCCCAATGGCAGTATTAATAAAGCTGCTGATATAATCATTAAAAACCTCACAGTGGCTCATGTCTGTGACCCCAGCAGCTCAGGAGGCTGGGGTAGGAGAATCAGGAGTTCAAAGCCAGCCTCAGCACCTTGGTGAGGCCCTGAGCAGCGTAGTGAGACCCTGTCCCTAAATAAAATATAAAAAGGGCTGGGCATGTGGCTCAATGGTTAATGATTGTCTTGGGTTCAACCCCTGGTCCAAAAGAGAAAAAAAAAAAAAAAAAAAAACACTAAAAACTTAACAATGTTTGCCTATGCTCCCTCTACTCTAAAAAGCAATAGTAGGACACCTGCCGCCTGGCACCCTGTCCTCCTTCCCAGCCTGACACCAGCCCCGTGCACTCACACAGGCTGTCTGTAGCCTCTTCTCTAGAGCCCCAAGGAAGGCGTACTGAGGACACGCTCTCCCACACAACCTGGCAGATGCACCAAGGCTCCTAACTTCAGTCCGTTTACTGGACAAAAATCCCTCGGCTCACTCTTCCCTTGAAGAGTCATAATTATTCCTTTTGCTTCTGGCCTAAAGCTCAGTCCTCAAAAAACCTGATCTCCCTCCCTAAATGCCCCAAGGGTGAGTCTTTAAAAACATCCAGCGGGCACCATGGTGCACACATGTAATCCCAGCACTAGGGAGCCAGCGGCAGGAGAATGGCGGGCTCTAAGCCAACCTCAGGAACTTGGAAAGGCAGGGGCAAGGCCAGGGGTGTGGATCCAGTACCAAAAAATACTCAGCCTGTCTACGAAAATATTTCCTGATTTTGGTCCTTCTTGGGTCTCACTCTTCCCGTGTCACCCAGGTTTGATCTTGGCTTATCTTCCACGTGCCACTTTCTAAGTCTTTCCATCTGCTCCTTTCCTCCCGATGGTAAAACCATACTCTGCTGGGTTTTGCTGTCTCACATTTCTGAATTTTTTTCATTCATGATACTTTATTGTGCCAGCTCATTTCCGAGTTTTTCTAATTCTCATGTGTTTTCTGCGTCTCCTGTCATCTCCTTCATGTCAGTTAGTTCACATTTTAAAATTCGAGTCTTAATGCTGGGCCATCACCCATTGGCAGGCGCACGTCCCCCACTGAGGTGTCCTGCGGTGCCTCTTGGCTTCGCCTGGCCTCGATGTCCAGACCTTTGGATGCTCATTTTCCTGTGAAAATGTTTCCAGCTTTCAGAAGAAGGTGGTCTCTAGCTCAGAGCTCCCTCTTCTGTATCTTTGGTGGGGTCTGAGACACATGTGCACCTGCTCTCAAGGGTCCTGCACCCACCTGGGCTCGCCCCTCCTCTGAATCTATATTCCTCAGCAGGGGACCTGCTGGGAGCCATTAGCCAAGTAGGTATGACAATTTCCTTGCCAGCGTACCCCATGTTGCTTAGTGGAAGGACTCGTGGAAATAGGACATTTTGCAGTGACATTGCATGTAAGGTGACCTTGCTCAAGGACCAGGGCGGATCCGGGTTTAGGGTGTTCCCGGTTTAGGACAATCTGGGTTTAGGGTGGTTCCAGGTTTAAGGTTATTCCTGCTGGGAATAGGGCATATCCTGCTGCCTGAGTTCCCCTTGAGTTCTCAAGGGATTCAGACAGTATTTTTTGGGAGACAGAAGCCCAGTGGGGGTGGATTTGGGCAGAGAACGTGGATTTCCCCAGAACGTGATTGTAGAGTGCTGGTGTGAGTTCGGGAATAAAGAGTTGCTGTTTGAATCTACAAGCTGTGTGGTGGCTCGTGATTGTGTGCCCAGCCAGACTGCGGCAGGGACCTTTCTAGGAGGGAGTCCTGGCAGTCAGTTTAGGGTTCTAAGGGCCCATTCTGCTTCTCCTAGACCTGTCCATAGAGCTCTGCGCTGGTCAGCCATGGGGGTTACAGGAGAGTGGCCAGCCCAGCCTGTTTTGCTGCTCTCAACCCCTGCCTCCCTTCCAACACTGAGAACCTGCGGGTCACATGCATCTTATGGCTCTTGGTGGTTTGACCTATGCTTGTCTCCCAAGAGGCACTTATCACCTGGCTTTATCATAAACGATGTCCACTGGATGTCCTTCTTGTTCATACAACAAGCGTGGCTGTTCTTGCGACTTTAAAGCATACAGTTCAGCTTACCCGTGGTTTTAGGTTCTGTAGCCTAGTTGTGTGGCTGCGGGGATGCCACCACTATCTTCCCAGAATCCGGCTTCCCTAGCCCTAACTTCAAAGGCAATGCTGGCTGGTTTGCCACAGCCTAAGGCCAGCCTGTGCTCCTACAGGGATCTGGCACGCCGCGGTTCCGTCCTCCAAGGTGGATGGCGAGGAGCACTGTGCAGGACACTCCCTTCCAGGGGCACTTTCTGAAGACAGTCAAGGGATGGCTGAGATAACCCCGACTGGCTGGTTTCCATACCGCTTCTGGCTCTCATCGAGTACCAGACCAGCAAGCCAAAGGCCATCGGGAAGCTGGTCTGACTCATCATCATAGGAACACGCAGAATTCCATAAAAGCCTTCCATCCACACCAGCGAGTGGTGTGGGTGCCACTCGGGCTAGGAAATTACCTAGTCCGGCTGCCTGTGGACACACTTGTCATCCAGGCTGCAGCACATGCCCAGGCTTCCCACCCCACCTGATGGCCGGACACCTTGGCGGATCCCCAGGACCGACCCTAGCGAGGAGAAGGAATAACCCCTGGATTCTGGGCCCTAGCAAGCCAGCCATGGTCTTCCCAGCCTGCCCTGTACTGCACAGGGTAAGAGCCCACTCCGCAGCCTGGGCTCCGCTGTCCCTACAGATCCACTGATGGCAGGGGAGCTGGGATGAGGCAACCCAGCCTTCGGCAGGCCATGCCTGCCTGCTCCATTTCCCGAGGCACCTGCTTCATAAGGAAACACCCCATCAAGCACACCATGACGGCCACAGAAGAGACACAGCATGACTTCTTCCAGACACGGGATCGCCACCACTGGGTCTCTCTTCACGACTCACAGGGGCACTGGCTCAGCTCCGCTCTCCCCTGACACAGTCCTGCCAAGGTAAGCATTTCCTTGAACTTCGGAGCACTGGTCCTCTGGCCTTGGAAAGCCTCTCCTTCCCTTGGCTCTGCACCTTCCCCCGGCTCTGCACCTTCCCTCAGCTCTGCACCTTCCCTCAGCTCTGCAGTCTCCAGTGAATTTCACACTCAGGAGGGACTCTGAAGCCAGGTGTGGTGGGGCCAACCTGCAATCCCAGTGACTCGGGAGGCTAAGGCAGGAGGACTGCAGGTTAGGGGCCAGTCTCAGCAACTCAGTAAGGTCCTAAGCACCTGAACAACTTAGTGAGACTGTCTTTTGTCTCAAAGTGAAAAATATAAAGGGCTGGCCTGTGTTCAATCCCCAGTACCAAAATAGAGAGAGAGAGAGAGAGAGAGACACGGAGACTCTTTGACAATAAGAAAGACATTCTTTTCTTAAACAGTTCACATTTATTATTGGTAACAATAAAAAAATCTTTTAAAGACTATCAGTATTGTATTACCAAGAGTGAGGTAATATGTTTACAAAACATTTAGGGAATTCTGATATGCAAATAATGAATCTAGGAAAGTGAGTTAAGACACTAGTAATAGAAGGGAGAACCAACAGAATCATTGGAGCGTAAAAGGGAGACGACAGCAGCATTTCAAGAGCGGCAGGGCACGAGACGTCAAGAGATGCGCAGCTGCACAGGGAACCCTGTGCCCAATCCCTCACAAGAAGAGGGGCCCCACGCTCCCGAGGGCCACCACACTCCCGGGGGCCACGGGCACTGTGCAGTCCTATGCTGCTCTCAAGTCTCAGAGACACAGTCAGCTCTCTGGGGATAAAAGAGTGCCACTTCTGAACCAACTAAAAGGAACGCGTCTTCAGCCTGGGGTGGGGCATGGCTGCAAGTCAAATGCTCTAGAAACACCTCTGGGCACGTGTGGACGGGTGAGTGAAGCATTTTCTTGGCAGCTGTCAGCAAAATCGCCATCTGAGACAGAGAGACAGACAGAGACAGGAGAGACAGGGAGAGAGAGACAGGAAGAGAGAGAAGAGGGACCATCCTCAGGTCCTTGTAACTGGAGATGGGAAGCTCTGACAGCGCAGATGTGCTGGCCAGCCCTGCCATGCTCTGGGAACGAGGTTTTGGTGTCAGCGAGCTGCCTTATAGGGCAAGGGCAGGCGGGACCCGGGGGGTCCGCGTGTGCCTCAAGGTGCACAGGCACAGGAGCCAGAGGCCTCCTCTGGCCAGGAGTGGGGCAGTCAGTTTCTCCCAGGCTCACCCGACCTACTCATGGGGTGCACACTTGGCCTCCACACAGCTCTCTGGTCACATGGCCGCTCACCCAATGCCCAGGCTGAGTCAGAGCACCGTGATCTAGGACTGTGAAGGCTGTGTGGCGTGGTGCACAATTTAAAAACCCCTGCCACACAAAACACACATTGCACGTCTTTATCACACAACCAACCCTATGTGACTCCTGGACAGATTCATAAATAACGTGCCTTTCTCATTAAAAATTGGTGAAGGGGGGGAAGAGGGCAAAGAGGCTTGGTAGTTGGAAATCAAAAAGAAAATGTAAAAAGCAAAAAGATCTCATACTCGGATTTGCTCCCGAGGACTCCTTTGCGACTCAAACTGAGCTTCCAGCTGTCCACCTGCACCATCACCCGGCTGCTGCGTGCACCCACAAGCACCTGCACATGCATCCAGTTTCCACTTACAAACGCAAAGGGCTCCTACAGCCCCATGCCCTCCTTAAGTGACCCTGCTGGGAGCTAACACTCACTGCCACAGCTTCCAAACAGCAAACATGGCTGTTTCCAGAACACCCTCTAAAGAATGGCCGGAGCAGAAGTGGCCGAGCACAGCGAGCTGCTAGAGTACGCGGGAGGGGTGGCACTGAGCCCAGAGCACCCCCCCTGCAGTGGGAAGAGAGGCACCCAGAGGGAAAAGGGAGAACACCTCCACCCAAGTTCACAGAAAAATTCTACTCTGAAAAATATCGAAAGATTTGAAAAGGAGGAGAGAGAAAGCAATGTTTAATGATGGTGGCATTTTCCCGGAGTTGCGGGCGCCCCCAAGAACCCTTCCTGAGCCACCAGCCCCACTCAGGAACAGCAGCAGTTCGGCCCTAGGACTAGGTGCTGCTACAGACTGCCCGAGTCTTCCAGAGGAAAGGACTCGGGGGCTTCCACCGGATCCACCGACCATCTCGACTAACAGGGAGCCACAAGGACCGCGGTGCAGCTTAGGGCAAGCAGCTGGGGGCTTCTGTTCCCTGGGAGAAGGTGGGCTTGGCTCTGAAGACGTCATGGGAAGTCATTCACTAATGGACAAGGTGGAGCTTGTTGGAAAAATTTTTTGCATCAATATTTGAGACGAAGTCAATCTCTTAACTGGCAATATAAACCATTTTTCTTTCGAGAGAGCCCTTGCGCTCTGGTTTGATTTTGTGCACGCTGTGTATAAAATCTATGGCTATCGAGTTAAGGTCAGGGTCAGAGTTAAGACTACCTGTCGACAGTTCTGGGACGGCGTGGCTAGTTTACCATCTGGATGGCTAGAGCTACCTAGAGGGCGAGAGGAGGCTGCTCAACGTCGGTGGGCGGCCGGCACAGTTGGCTGTCGAGGCGCGGCCATCCCCTCCACACAGTGGACACAGGCTTCGCGGCACTACCTGGAAATCATGGAGCTGGAGTGAGACTGGCTGGAGGTGGTGGTGGCGGCGCTCAGCTGGGAAAAGCCACTGTGGCTGGACTCCAGGCTGGTCATCGAGCCTCTGCAGATGCAGGGAGGAGAAGAGGTGTGAGGACCCAGCCACAGGCGCCCGCTGTCCACACTGCTACGGGCTTCCCACCCATCCTGCTCTCTGCCCCCTCTATGCCGCCCCCGCCCAGTCAGGGGGAATGGGCCACAAGTGTCCCATCCAGGGACAGCTTCCCCCAGCCTACACACAGCTGACACAACGCACAGGCAAAGGCTGTGCTGCTGCTCTGACACCCCTCGCCACAGCTGTGCAGTCAGAGCCAAGGAAGGGGCCCAGCGCTGCCTGGGAAGCCCGGACCCACCATCCCTGCTGCACACAGCTGGCTCTGGGGCCTCTGCTGAGCACCCTCACCCTCAAGGACGCCTGTGTGGGGAGGGAGCCCAGACCTGAAGTCCTCGGAGCCGATCACTTCTGTGTAGTACATCACTTTGCACTTGTGTGAGGACACCTGCAGGGAGGCCAGCACGTCGTCCACCCGGGGCAGGTTGGTAGCCGCACACGCCGGCATGCTGTGGAACTTCCACTGCAGGATGTAGAAGCCTGGCCACCTGGTCACATGAGAGCCCTGGAGCAGCGGGGGAAGCAGGATGAGGAGGACTCCCTGACAAGCCTGGTCCCACAGTGGGGCTGCCGGGTGCCGGGGCGCTGTCTCCCAGCCTCATGGGGACGCGACAGCAGTCAGTGGCCATCTGGACAGGACTGGAGACCTGCTATCTGGATCACCATCAGGAAGGGCTTTGACAACATCCTTCCATCCACGATCAGGCCTGTCCCAAGGCCTCCAACAAGAGCTGGGAAGGCCACAGGAATGCCCCTCCCAACTGTCACCTTGCAAAATCACACCTCTACTATGGAAGGCCAGAGGCACCCGGAGGGCTGCCTAGACGGGAAAGCGGCAAGAGGCTGAGGTGAACCACAGAGCATCTCGATGTAAACCAGCCTGGCCACCAGCAAGTGGCTCCCTAAGTTCTGCTCCTCTCTATGGTTCTCCTCTGACGAAGACAAGGGCAACCCCTCAAGTTCCATCCAGCACATGTCATCTGAAGGCCAGCTGTGTGTGTACACACTTTCTCCTGCCAGATGGCCCTTCTGTGCAGGGGAGTCCTGGGCTGCCTGCACGCTGCTTGGGTGGGAGCTCCCGCTCAGGACCCAAGACCCGGATCTTTCTGGCCTGGCAGCTAGGCACACCCTGCCCTCCACCAACAGCAGAGCCTCCATGAGCCACCTGGGCTGGGGCAAAGCAGGAACACCCACTGTCAAGAGGAGGCCCCCATGGAGCGTCACGAACACGTGACTTTACCTGCACGCTTTCTCCTTCTTTGCAAATTAGGGGCGACTCCACCATGCTGTAGTCGCGGCCCAGCTGCCAGACCTTGTCGATGAGCTGCACGTTGTTCCCGCCTGGAGAGGTGATGCTGTGGGCCCCTAGGGAGTCCTTCTTGGGGGGCTGCGGAGACCTCTTGGAGTGATAGATATTAAAGACAATGTCGCCTTTGCACACGTCAAAATCCCAAGTGATCACAGAAGCAGCATCCACAATCTGAATGAGAATCTGGAAAACAAGAGGGGGAGTGACTCAATCGCACGTGTGAGGCCTGCGCTTACAAGCCCTGCAGGGGCCTTCCGGCCCAGAGGTGTGAGCCAGGAAGGGGCAGGAGGGACGGGCAGGACTGACAGGCAGGGGTGGTGCCTTCACCCAGGTCACTCAGCCCTCCAAGGCCCGTTCCCTCTCGTTCTTCTTTCCCCAAAGGCTCCTGCTACACATCGTGGAGGTGTGAGCCACTGTGCCTCTGTGACCTGCGTGTACCCTCCAAAGACGCCCAACAGCATCTGCAGACAGCTTTCTGAAAGTCAGTTTTCCAACCTAAGACGGGGAACTGGACACAGGGGGCCGGGGCTGCTTTGGGCTGGGGAGCAGCAAGCCCTGGAGAAGAGCAGGGGAGGCCTGGAGGGCACAGGCCACATACAGGAGTGCAGCTACACCAGACAAGCTGGAAGGAAGAGATGAGCTGTGAGGGGTGGGGGTGGCCTTGGGTGCCCAGTGCCATCCGAGTGCCATCCAAAACCCGGACTTCAACCTGCAGTGACAGTTCCCCCGCAGAAAGAGGTCAGCGTCAGTTTCAAAGACTAGTGGGGGAGGGGCATGAGAACCCAAAGCAGCTGGGCAGAGCTCTGCGTGGACTGGCCTCTGCGGCTCCCTCTGGAGGCCAGCTGTGCCCCTGAGCACGGCCCCTCTGGAGGCTAAGGAGCAGGCCTGTGGAGCACGCTCTCCTCCCTGCTGCACAGGACGCACCGCTTCGCCCCGGGTGGTCCTGCCTTGGACTTATGCCTCACTCATTCCTAAAGCAGAGCGCAGGTGTGGTAACAGAGGCCACTTCTAACAGGGATAAGCACAGCGCCATGCACCCTCAGATAGGGATCCATACAAATCATCTCAGGACAGTGTGAAAGGGGGCGCATCAGGCTTCCTCTGCCATTCAAATCACGGCTACAGCCTCCCTTATCCTCCACCCACCAGGGTCCGTCCGGTCAGCTGCTGGGAAGACATCAGCAACAATGATCAGCAGGTGGCTGAGCAGGGAGCTGCCATGGCAAAAGCAGTAAGGGGTCAGCTCCTGGCCACCACCCTGGGCAGAGACAGCAGTCAGCTTGATCCAGCACCCCTCGTGTGAAGTGCTGCCACCCAGCCAGGACCCAGGACCCAGGACCTTGCCCAGTGGCCCTCACACTCAGGTCACCTGCACTGTTACAGACACGTGGGGGCTTCATGCAGGGACACTCTGGCCTTTGCACCAGTGTGACAGCAAGAAGAGGAAACAGAGGCCCACTGCTCCCTCCTCAGCCCCCTGCACTGACGGAACCGGCACCGAAGTGGAGTTTCTTCCCTTGACCACTCAAGGGAAGCCTGGTCAAGGTGACCACTGAGTAGCCAGCTCAGGGGTGAAAGCAGGCTTCCGACAGGACCAACTTGTTCCCCATGTCCGTGTCAAGGCTCTCCAGCGAAACAGGGCAAGAAACCAGGCTCCCTTTAAGGCTTTGGCCACACAGTGATTTTCCATGTGAGAGACCCGCTCTTCCACGTGGTCATTTACCAAGATAGACCATCAGGGACCTGAAGACCCAAGAGCAGAAAGACCAGCGGCTCTTCTGATGGGCAGCGGGCAGCAGGCCTGGGGCGGCCCCTGGGGTGGCCGGGAAGGCGTACCTCGTGAGGGGCTCCTTTGAACACACTTGCAGACTGGTAGATGGTCTCGGTCCAGAGCTTCAGGTCTTCATTTTCCAGCTCCTCCGCAGTCCTATACAGAGATTTGGGGACCAGTCCACCCTCTGGCACTTCACACTGGAAATGTAAACACAGCCATGAGAGCTGTGCCCACAGCCCACAGCCCACAGCCCGAGCCCCCGTCCGCGCCCACTGACCTCCTAAGAATCTAGACAGAGCCCTGGCAAGGCCGAGGCAGGCCGTGCAGCCTGTGAGCTACTGTGGAAAACCACTGCAGTCCTGTGTTCTACTCTGAGTAAACACGAACAAGTTAAAGACGGTTTACCACAGAATTCACGCTAATATGCAGGAGGTACTGGACTCAATTACTACAGCTGGTTTTTATAGGATTTAAAAGACTTTCTATTGCACTACAAAGGAAACACATTATGTTAAGAAAGTTTTATTCCCAAGAACTACAGGCATTATTTTTACATAAAGTCTTAACTGGAGCTGGTTATGCAGGTCACTGATAGAGCACCTGCCTAGCACGTATGAGGACTCGCTTCAATCCCCAACACCACAGAAAAGAAAAAAACAAAATGATCAAATTTATAGTCAATTACTACCAACCAATAAAGCTTCCTGTATAATCAAAGTCAAACGATCAGTCTATACCATCACCCGCTATTATTAAAGGAGAACCTGAATTTGCAAGAAACAACAGTGTCCTATTTGACAATGACAACTGATGAGTCCTTGAACAGCAGCTTCACCTGAGAGTTCATAAAATCCAAGTACTCCCCGACAGCAGCCCAGGAGGCAACCACACAGAGCAAACGCTCACACCCTCGGCCTGCAGTGCGAAGTGGAACTGTCCCCGCAAGGATGGCATGTTAGAAAACACCAGGTGACCGGTGGTGAGAAACCTTCTAGGCCCAGGAGCGCTCCCCTCCGACCACCAGGCTGAGTGGCTGCCCAGGAGGCATGTGGGGTCCCACAAGGCTCAAAAGATGGACATCTCAATAAGATGGACTCTCAGCACTGTGAGTGCGTCAGGCATGGACAGGCTACAAAGGCAGGTGCTACCTGCCAAGAGTCTGATACCCGACTCCACCTGTTTTTGTTTGGTTTGGGCACCAGGTACTGAACCCAAGGGTGCTTCAGCATGGTGCCCTTTTTGTTTTTTATTTTAGGCTGGCCTCAAACTTGAGATCCTCCTGCCTCAGCCTCCCAAGTCTCTGGGATTACAGGGGCACACCACTATGCCTGGCTACAAGATGGTTAGCTTTTCATGATGAAAGCAGTTTGTAGGTTTCCACAAACCTGACCCCATGGTTTGATCTCAGGGGCACCTGCTAAGTCACATCCTGCAACTTACTTGCTCTGTGCACTGTGGTGTGATGGTGCCTGCAGCTTCCTTAAAATGGAACTGAGGAGCTGAGAGCTAAACTCTTGGGTTTCCTAAAGTCCTCTAACCATTGAGAAGGATCCCTCAACAGCTCAATTCCTTAGCTAAAGGAGTCAAACCCAGAGTGTGCACATCTCAAGGGGTAGCTTTAGTGTGAAGGTGCCCAGAGATCCTTGCTCTGATGACAGCCTCGATCCCTTGCTCACTTCAGCAGCCACGGAGCCCACAGATCCAATCCCACGGAGTTCCTCCAGCCCCAGCCTTCTTAGGCCTCCCCTGGGCAACTGCAGCTTCCAGGCCTCCAGGCCTCCAGATTCCTGCTCCTTTGGCTCCTGATTATCCAGCACCTTATTTTCTTAAAACCCCAAACTTACATAAAGGAGAACCACTTCCTTTAATTTTCCACTTTGAAAGTATTATCCTGGGTTACGTAATTGTCAAGGAACCGCTCTTGAAAGCTGATTCAGTGTTGCTTTGACTGCTCTTGTTTTGTTGGTGGTGCTGAGGATGAAACCCAGGCTCTTCTGCACGCTAGGCAAGTGCTCCAGCCCTGAGCCACGCTGTCAGCCCCAAGTCCCTGTTTGCTTTTCTGATACTGGGGATTAAACCCAGGGATACTTAACCACTGAACTACACCTCCAGACACTTTTTAAAATTTTTATTTTGCTTAGTTTTTTATTTTGAGACAGGGTCTCACAAAGTTGATGGGGCTGGCTTTGACTTTGTGATCCTCCTGCCTCAGCCTCCTGAGCTGCTCAGCTGCTGTGCCCGGCCGAATCAATGCTGTAATAGTATTTTTTAAAAAACTAAAACAGTTACTAGATCTGATTCTCTCACGGCTGTGTTAATAAAGCAAGCTATTCTTACAATAGATTCTAAAAGATTCCCATTAGAATTTCACATCAAGAAATGTGTTACCAACAATTATCTGAATGGCTCTCCTCAGTTCAACCTCAGGTCAAAGGTGACAGGCAAAAATCAAGAAATCCAAACTAAAGGTTCTGAAGTCATCTGTGCAAACCAATACCACTCTTCTAACGTCCTCAGTACAAATGTGTGCCTCTTTCCTCATACGTACCATGCACTCCCCGCTCAGGAAATCTGGAATGATCTCTCTGTCGATGTAGTCCAGCAGGCCGCCGGGGCCCTGGTAGTCATTTCCTGCGTAAATGAGGAACTTCCTTCTGGTGTTGTCATCAATGAATGGACTGACCTGTGAGGAGCCAGAGGCCGGGCTGTTTGATTTGCTGTCTGGTTTTCAAAGAGCAAAAGTCTGACAGGGGGCTCTGTCAGGTCCGTCTGCACAGCATTAGGACAGTCAGAAACATTTTGCTTTTTCTCCCCTTTAACAACATCTGAGTTTCACTCTGCATCTTACTTTGCTTTTTCCCACCTAGTTGAGACTCCAGGACACAGACATGCAGCGAGTGCACAAATATCTGCCTTCTAGAAGGCTAACGGTCACTGCAGAACATCACACAAACCCACCAGCGTCCAGAGAACAGGGAAGACCCTGGGTGCCCGGAGGATGAGAAGGCGGCCCAGTGTCTCTGGGTAATTGGCCTCCACCACTTCGATGATTCGCAGCAGGGCTTTGACGCCAGGTCTCCACAAGTGGCGCATGTTCAGCCCTTCCAGGTCCACCAGGCAGGTCCAGGAACTGCAGATGGTGCAGAGATGTGTTTTATTCAATAGACAGCATACTTGGCAAACTGGGTCCTATATTCAATGTTTTTCTTTCCATATTATAAAACAGTCTTTTTATAGTCGTTTCCAAACATACATCAGGTTTTTTTGTTTTGTTTTTCCATTTTTAGGCAACACGGGCATTGACTACAGGGGTGCTTTACTGCTAAGCTACACCCCTAGCCCTTTAAAATTTTTAAAAATTTAGAGACAGGGCCTCACTGAGTTGCCAGGCTGGCCTCAAACTTGTAATCCTCCTACCTCAGCCTCCCACATCACTGGGATTACAGGCACACACCACCATGCCTGGCTTATACACCAGTTTTAAGAATTATGGTGTTATGAACTCTATTCACATCTACTTACATAAAACGCATAGGCTCAATGTGGTAGGACCCACCCTGAACTATCAAAGCCATCAATGAATGGCTGACAGCATATAAAAGCCTCTCTCAGACATGCTCAGTGACTAGCAAGACATAAAGCTCCATCCCGACACCCTGTGCCTCTTCCCCAGGGCACACATCTGACACTGTAACCCACACTTGGCATTTGCACTGCAATAAGCTATTCCACAACAAATGTTCACTGAGTCCAGCGCCTTCTGAGGGGCTGAGAGGCAGCAGTGAACACGCATCCTTGCAAGCCCTGCCCCGGGGAACAGACACTCTAGAAGAGCCACCCCCACCGGTCCACGTGGCCACCTTGGCGTCCCTGCACACTTTCACCCCACTTGACAAAGCCTGGAAGCCAGCTCAGGAACACAGGAGAGTTTGGGAGAATGGGGGTTGAAACAAAGAAGCAAAGGAGCTATGCTCCTGGGCTCCCAAGGACCTCAAGGCCCACTGCCCAGGCCAACCCATGGGGCCTGCTGGGATGCCCTGACAGCCGGGCCTAGGGGGCAAGGAGCACCAAGCCTGCAGCTGTCCCTCTCATTACTTTCTAGTTTTGAAACTCCTTGGAAAACAGTGAACTCCCAGACTTCGGTCCTAAATACCAACTAGAAATATGGAATCCACATTGTCAGTAAGCCCAAAGAAGAGCGCACACCTCTCACCCACCTGATGGGCCGGCCGAAGACCTTCGTGTTCTCTTCACAGCGCCTCAGGCCCTCTTCGTTTATGGAGAGAACCTGTCATGGAGGGCATGGAGACGGGGCAGGTCAAGACTCGCCCACCGGGCACACCACAGGGGAGCAGGCAGGGTGCCCACAGAGCATCCTGGCAGTGGTACTGGCTGAGCACGGTCCGACAAGGACAACCATCTGGCTCTCAGGAGAAAGCAGATGCCATCCTCCGTGGTGAAGGGAGAGTCGTGTCACCGCAGGTTGGGCTCAGGGAGCCACCACTCTGGGATGGGTCTTCAGAACAGGTGAATTGGACAGCAGGAAAGAGGCAGTTGGGCATGTCCAGTGCGCCGTGCCACAGGAGGTCTCAGAACAGCCCCAGGCAGCCCAGGACAGCCCTTCAAGTTGGGGTGACAAGTGCTCCCTCGGAAGAAGTCCCTCTGTATCTGCATTTGTGCACCGCACAGATGACCATGGCCAGGGGCACAGACAGGAACCCACAGAAGGGCAGCAGCAGGGTGTGGGGGTGGGTCTGTCTGCTCTAGACACCTGGCTACTCCGCGGAGGACCCCGCAATTAAAACATCTGCAGGACGATTGTGTCCTCCTCTGAGGTCTCTGCATACATCAGGCTCTCCTGTCTAACTGCAAGGGCAGGGGGCGCGGCATGGGACACAGGGCAAGGCCAGCAGCAGCCAGGACTTACGTATCGCAGCAGGGCTTCCTCGCCCAGGGCTCGTACCAAGCCCTTGGTGTCCATCTGCCCCAGCCTGAGCACGTAGAGAGGCCGTCCGTCTGCAGGGGAGGAAGCAATCAGAGGGTCCCTGTGTGGGGCATAGGACACCCCCGGGACCCCTGGCTCCAGGCTGGAGGTGGTGCAGTTGAAGAGCACCCACTGGGAGCAAGGCTGTGGGCTGCACCCCAGCACCGCAAACAGGACTCCTGGGAAGCAGGAGTGCTCTGGAGTGTTCTGACAGGCCCAAGTTCTCCCCTCTGCTAAGCAGCAGTTGGCTTCAGTGTGGGGACAGGGGTGGGGTTGGCATCCAACATTTCCCCCAAAAGTCACAAAAGAAAAAAACCAAATAATGGTGCAGCTTAGCAGAGTCTGGAGATGGTGCTGCCGGGAGGAGAGCCGAGCCCAAGCCCAGCCTGTCCTGCGCGATAGCCGTCAGGCTGGGTTGCTTTGCTCGCACACAGGGCTTAGCAAGAGCCCAGAGGAGACTTCCGAATGCCTAGGATTTTTCTATGAATTCAGTTCAAGTTTCCTTTCTCAGAAAAATAAGCCTTTTTAATTTCATACGTTACCAATAAATTAGTAAGATTTTTATAAGTCAGTCTTCCTCAATTTCCACTGAAGTCCAAGAAAAATGGGAACATTCTGGACACCAATCAGTACATGCTGGCTCTGTCTCCGTAACCTACAGATCTAACGGAGGGAGCCTGAGAGGAACCTAACTCATCCCACAACCCTGTCATCGCCAGCCAGCCACACAGGGGAAGATGATCCCAGGGCCAGAGTGTATGCAGCGGCCGGCACCTCTCAGATTGCCGCCCTGTGGTTGAAAGGAGAGCAGCAGGATCGTCCTGCAGGGAGGCAGCGTCTGCCATGGGTCCTCCCGGGGCTGATCTCGCCTTTAGGGAACAGCTGGTTCCACATCTGTTTTCTAAGCCAAGAAGTTTTCTGTGACCCCAAATCTTGTAGAAAAGCAAGTTTACAAAAAGTTTGTACCAACATTTTTTCAGGTGGTGCTGGAGGACTGAAGCCAGTGTTCTGTCGCTGAGTTGCAGCCACAGCCCTTTCTTTTTTCTTTTCTTTTGCAGCAATCTTGCTAAGTTAGTGAGTCTGGCCTTGAACTTGCAATCCTTCTGCCTCAGTCTGCAGAGCAGCTGGGATCACAGGTGCGTCCCATCATACCTGGGTCCCTCTTCCAACATTTATATGGGACACATCTGTCCATGTCTTACTACAAAACTTTTTAACCTTTTAAGGTTCCAGTCACGTAGTGAAATAAATACAAATGTTTCCAGTTACAACCAATAAAGCTACAGTTACTTTGAAGGAAAACAATTTGGGTGCAGTGGCACACCAGTGACTTGGGAGGTTGAGGCAGGAAGATCACAAGTTTGAGGCTGGCCTTAGCAGGCTAGTGAGGGATAAAATAAAAAGGGCTGAAGATGTGGCTCAGTGGAAAAGCCACTGGGTTCAATCCCTAATACTAGTAAATAAATAGCCAATTAGAAAAACAAGACAGACTGGAGTATTATAGTTCTGAAAGGACTTGTTCAGAGACAGAAGAGGAAGCCAGTTCCACAGCAATCCCTGCAGCCCCCCTCCAATGACTGTGATTCAATTCTGTCCAACCACCAACCTGCAGCCCAGGAGGAAAGAGCATCGTAAGACAAGGCCGGCACTCCCGCGGGGGCCAGTATGCAAAGGGATGGCCACCCCCACTTTGAGTGTTGTGTCCCTGGTCTACTTGCTCCTGAGAGAAACCGCAGTTCTCTGCTATCTGATATGGAGGCCTGGCTGGGCATGTCACAGCCACTGGAAGGCGTAAGTCATTAAATCCCTTTTATTAGCACAGTGCTGGGGAAGTCACTCTGTCACCAACATTTAAGTTTTGGGGCTTTTAAAAATATTTTTCTTGTAGATGGTCACGATATCTTTTTATTTTTTCTTATTTTTACATGGGGCTGAGGATCAACCCAGTGCCTCACACGTGTGAGGCAGGCACTCCACCACTGAGCCACAGCCTGAGCCCAACGTTTGAGTTTTTAATATGTCAAAACAGACTCCACAGAGCTGAGAAAGGAAGTAAAGTCGCTGTCCCAGGGCAACTCCAGGAAGGAGCCAAAGCCACTGCCCTCCCTCAGCTGCCCAGGTGGGACAGGAGTGTGCTGGAGGGTCTCACCAGCTGGCTCACACTGGAGAGCGCTTCCAGGTCCCGGGAGAGGAGGGCGATGCCTTGCAGGCCCCTGGCTCTCTGTGGAGCTCCCGGATACCCCACGGGGAGACAAGATGGCAACAGACGGGGAGGCTCAGTGCCACCCACCTTTGTCGTGATGGTGCCATCCTCCCGCGTAGTAATCCTGAAGCACCTGGGGTGGGGTCCAGGTGTCCAGGATGTAGTCCACCTGGTGCTGCTTCCGCCATGTTAAAGATTGACACATGATCTCTCTGGCCTTGTCGATGTTAAAATCCCGAGCGCGTAGGAACCGAAGAATATGCTCATCCTTTGGGATCTAGGAGAAGAAAAGATGCTTTTAGGACTGTTAAGAGTTGCCCAGCCTCAAAATGTCAGTTTTTAAAACGACTGGGGTGTGATGCAGTGGTACAACACTCCTGGGTCCAACCCCAGGACTGGGGGTCCGGGGGAAGGTTTGTTGTTGCTAAGAGACCAAGACTCAAACTCCATCTCTTCTCAACAGTAACCTGCACCTTCATGCTGTTTAGAACGAGCTGCTGCTGGGGCAGGGAGCAGCTCAGTGGTACAGCACTGCCCGGCGTGTGAGGCCCTGGGTTTGCTCTCCACCACCGGAAAAAAATAAAATTAGCTATTCCCAGAAAAATCTTGGCCTGATGTTTAATTAAAAAAAAAAAAAAAAAAAAATCAGTATCTGATTTTTCTAGTGATCTTCCTAAAGCACCCTTTCAGTCTGGGCAATGTGAAGGCACAATGTCTGAAACACAGGCAACAGTTCCAAGCTATGCAACGGCATACCATTGTGCCCTGTGCACTTCTGCATGGAGATTCTACTAAAAGTTGGAATGAAACCATGCTGGGATTGGCAGTGTGGGGGTGCTGCTGACATGCAGGAACCTTCTCAAGACCCTGTCAATCAGCCTGGTCACCCTGAATAAAGAAGAAGGCTGAGTCCAGGATCTGGGTCTCATTTGGACCAAGTCTCTTCCCTCTGTGGTCACCTGTTCGCTAATGCAGGTAGCCAGACCATCCAGAGACCATGAAGAGAGTGGGAGCAAGAGTCTGCGTGGTATCCCACCTTGGCACATAATCAAAGCATAGGGTGCAGTGATTTGGCATCATCTTCACTTGGAAAGCAGCACAGGCACATGGAAGCGGTTAAGAACGTGGGAACACACCTATAATCCCAGCACCTCGGGGGGCTGAGGCAGGAGGAGCACAAGTTGGAGGCCAGCCTCAGCAACTTATGAAGACCCTGCCTCAAAATAAAAAAGGGGGCTGGGGATGTGGCTCAGTGGAAGAGCACCCCTAGGTTGAATATCCTGTATCTAATAAATAAACAGGAATATGGTGCTGAAACCACATGGTCTTGGTTCAAATCTTGGCCCCACTGTTTCCTAGCTTAAGACCTTGAGCAAGCTGCTTAACTTCTCCATGCCTTGGTTTCTGGACCTTTGAAAGAAGGAGATGATGGAACAGCACCCACCTCTAGGCCTGTTGGGAAGACTACACGAAGAGCTAAAAGCATGTCTAACACACGGTCGCAGACACCAACAGTAGCTGTTTTCCTAATGACTGGTGTTAAAAAGCTCTCGGGGGCTGGGGCTGTAGCTCAGTGGCAAAGCGCTTGCCTAGCATGCGTAAGGCACTGAGTTCAATCCTCAGCACTACATCAAAATTAATAAATAAAATAAAGGCATTCTGTCCATCTACAATTATTAAAAAAAAAAAAAAAAAGCTCTCATGCAACCAGGACTGAGAAAATTAGAGACCGGAAAAACTGTGTGCAGGTGCCTGCTTCCTGCACTGGGCCATTAAGTAACCTTTATGCTTGCTACATAAACTTGTTATTAAAACCAAATTTCTTATGTGGCTACAATTTCACATAAAACTTCAGAATTAAAGCTCAAACATTTCTAATCTTGGATAAAACTCTGACCTCCTTCCGAATCTTTTCAAAATTTAAAATGCATGGCTACCTGGAACATCATGCTACTCTGCCACTTGATGACCGACTGCTTCTGAGCAGACCATCTCAGCAACAGCGCACAGAGCAGCAGCCATGCACACGAGGAAGGGCAGCCCAACCTGTTGCCAGGCACGTGGGCTCCAGCTGGCGACACTCCCGTGGGGATGACCTCTCCAGCTGCAGCAGGACCAGAGATGGCAGACTGCACATGCACAGCCTGGGGGCCAACACTCACCTTGCCCTTGTGGGTTTCCTGGAGCCACTGGCGAAGCCTGATAAGGCAGCTCTCCTGGAGTGGGGTCAGGTCACCCAGATACCTCTTGATGTAATCGGCATCGAGTTTGTCTGCAATGGGAACCACATGGCACCATTTGCAAAGATGAACTCTGTCCTGAGGCTCTCGTTGCCTGGTAGTGCCAGGTGGGGCTAGAGTCTTGGGGTGAAGGAGACTACAGAGAGGACACATTTAAAGCAACCACCCTGGAGAATTTAGTGACATCTTTAAGACACCACAGAACCAGAGGTGAGCCTTCTGACTCAGCTACCTTTCCCTGATTACCACACTGAACTACCTCAATTCAATTAGCCACAATGCCCCTCATGATATCACCATGACTAGAGAAGACATTCAACGACTGGTTTAATTCAAAGTGACAAAGCCCTTCCATGATATAAAATTATGAAATGAAACAACCAAGCAGATCTAAATCTTCGTTAAGGATCCAGCTACCGTGTTCAAGAACACAGTTTCTCCAGATAAGGTACCACTGGACAGATGAGTACAACAAAATAAGTACAACAAAAAAATATTCACAAGGTGAAAAATAAAACATATCCCCAAATCATCCCCACTCCCAGCAAACTGTTGAAAGTCATCAAATGGCACAGTTAGCTGCCAAAAGAATGTATGCAAGGCCGGGTATGGCGGCACTCGCCTGTAATCCCAACAGCTCAAGAGGCTGAGGTAGGAGGATCACAAGGACTGGGGGTGTGGCTCAGTGATAAAGTGCCTGGTACAAAACAAAAGTATGAAGAGATACTGATATTTTAATGAACGTTCTGAATGGCAGAACACTCTTGTCTTTTCTTACTTTCCTGTGTTTTCTGAACTCTTAACAATGGGCATTACTCTCAGCACATGCCAAGTGGAGCAGCGGCTAAAGCAGTCCCTGAGCCCGTCCACCTGGGCACAGTCTCAGCCCTGGACCGACTCCCTGTGCCCCAGGCAGGTCAGGTCTCTGCCTCAGTCAATGTAAACACAGGGAGCATCTTCAGCTTCCCCCACCCAGAAGGAGCGACAATGGCGTGAGCACCCTCCACTCAGTGCCTGGACAGTCCCTGGCACCTGAGCGAGTGAGGTGTCCAGCGGTGGGAGTTCTAGGAGAAAGCACGGATGGCTTGTGCTCACCTCAGGCACCTACAACTAACATGAAACATCTTTTTCTGCCCATTAAAAACAAAAACTAAGAAAAAAATCACATGAATGTATCACATAAGCTATAAGACAAGGAAACGAGACCAGAAACAACAAATGGCTTTCCTTCTCCACGTGGTGCTGTGTGTCCTAAGGAAACAGGAACAGGCAGAGCAGTAGAGAGGAAAGGCCCCACACGACTCCTAGTCTAGCCGGAAGAATGGAGCCTTCTTCAGACCCACCATCAGGGGTTCCCACCGTGGGCTCAGGGGTCCCTCCAGGGTTGCTGAGGGCCTCTCCATTCAGCCCCTCCTTGAGGGCAGCCTCTGGGACCACAACAGCCGTGGATGCCACCTGAGTCTTGCTGGACGAGGACGTCTCTGAAGAGGGCCCGATGGAAGGTGGGGTCCAGCGCGGCACGAAGGTGATGCCCTCTTCTTCAAGCTGACGAAGGTAGTACTCAATGATTTCCTTCCCCTTAGGAGGAGACCAAGGTTAAGGTGAGTGTAGAGTCAATACTTCAATCATTTGTCCCTTACCAATTTGTGAGGTAACTACCAAAAACTAAGGGCTGAGATATAGCTTGGAGGTAGCATGCCCCAAACTAATCTAGAACACTGATCTATCAGACACACTTGTACTGAACACAATTCTAACCTTGTACCTGAAAATACAACCACCTTCGAGAGCCCCCCACCACCCCACACCACAGCTTTAAAACCACGACCCACAGCTCCCAGAGAGCGAGCGGCTGCACCTGAGAAGATCCAGGGAGCCCTGCCTGGCCACCTGCCAAGAATCTCCTCAACACACAGAACTTTCCATCAGCAGACCCACAAGTAGAACCCAGGGGTGCGGCCACCTCACCCCAACTTCCCATGTTCCCACAATTCCAAGCAGAGAATGTGGTGGCCAGGAGTGACCCGCCTGTGCCTCCTTCACTCCACCTGCAGCCAGCACCACCAGCCCCGCAGGGCTAAACAGAAGGCCCAGGGCAGGGTGGAAGCACATTTCTACCCCCGAGTGACCCGCTCCCGGCCTTCCAGAGGACTAGCTCGGACACCTCAGGAGACTGCTGCCCTCCCTTTCCCATGAAGTCCCAGAGACTCACTTTTTTAATGTTGCTGGTGTACTGTTTCATGGCAATTTTTTCCACTGTACTTTCAAAACCAAAGAAAGATTTGATGTCTAGACTTGCAGACTGTTCAAAACAGGTCCAGTCTTCGTTCTCAGGGTGAACCTGTGGGTGAAGAGAAGGCCTGCTGTGTGCGGCAGCGAGGCCTGCTCTGCTCCCCTCGGCCAGCGACCAGAAGGAGCAGTTCTCTTACAACAGAGCTACTCCCATGGAAACAGCACAAGGAGGGTTACAGAGGGCTCGAACTCCAAGACACCAGCGTGGCCTGAGAGGAGCGCTCGTCCTCCCCTGCCCAGTCCCTCACCTCCCTACACACAGAGCCGCTCTCCCATTAGGAATGAAGGAAAGACCCTTCCGTGTCACTGACAGCCTCACGAGGAGACAGACGGCCACGAGCCTTGGACAGAAAGGTGAGGAACTTCCAGCTGCTGGAAGATCAGGGCCATGGGGAAAGCGTAGAGCGGGTTAAGGGGACCGGGTAGGGCTGCAGGCCGCGCTGTCGACTGGCCACTGGGAACAGGGATCTGGGCAAACCTGAAGGAGGGCTGGGGAAGTCCTCGGGAGGCTGGCGTGCTGGCAAGCGTGCTGGCAGCCATGTACAAGGACTGAGGGGGAACCGGCCCTCCTAGGCCACGGCAAGCACTCGTGCTTTTCTCTGAAGGTCATGTGGAAGCACTGGGTTGTGAGCTCAGTGATAAAACTTGACAATCCTAAAACAGTTCACTGTGGGTTCAGCATTAAGGATACACTGGAGGTGGCTAAGGCGGCAGCAGACACACCACGCAGGAGGCCACTCTAATGACCTAGTGAGAGCAGCTCTCAAAGCAGGGTGGTCGGCAGTGAAGGTGACAGCCGACGTGTGCTCCCAGCTCTAATCTCAAACACACACACCATCCTGCTCTTCAGAATGCATTTCTCAAGTAGCAGAGCATGGCAGTGGAATGACTTGGCTATGACTGCCACCACAGTGCAATCCTGCCTGCAGGAAGCCACACCTGCCACTGCTGATCCCCTTCAGAACTGCTAACAGGAAATATATGGCAAAGAACTACCCCAGGACAAAGAGGCACGCCGTTCCAGTGATGGCTGACCACCTTTGGAAGCCGTGCCCCCGTGCCACCCGGCTGGCGGGCTCTGCCCAGGGCTGTGCACTCACGGTGTAGCAGCAGTGCTCGTTAATGATGACCCGATTGGAAAACGTTTCATTATGGGCCTCAATGTGCAGAGTGCGCTCCCGAGAATTGAGAGAGTTTTTCTGGACAAAATAAACATAATCAACTCCTGCAATCTTTAAAAAAGAAGTAAAGAGAAAAGGGTTTATTATCAACACCACTGTGACAGAAGCGGAAACATAAATTCTCTATCTCTGGGACCAACGCCTTCCGGCAGGCCTGGGCAATTACCTTCTTCAACAGCCGGGGTGCGTCTATGTCCAGCTTGCAGCGCCTTTCAATGACGTGAATGGCCCCGTCTTCACTCTTGAATTCATTCACAGTGTCACTGTCCACAAACATGGGAATCAGCGGACATGTAGGGAACCTCCTTTCATAGGCCTATGGATAAAAACAAACCAAAAAGAGAGAGGAAGTGAATGAAGTCCCAACCTCAGTCTCTCCTTGCCCGAAAGGGAAGGAGTGCTCAATCTTAGCCCGTGCCCACAGGAGGCGCCACAGCTGGGCTGGTCACCTGCAGCTTTCACTAACCTGGAAAAGATGTCCGCATTCACGACAGTCTGGTGAATTGTCGATTCTGTCCACATAGATACAGGCTAAACATAATTTCTACCAAAATTCTAGCAAATATACTTTGGAGCCTCAGGCAAGATTATTTTACAACTTACATGGAAAAGCGAAGGAACTAGAGTAAATGCCTAGTAAGCTAAAATGATTACTGAAAATGAATAAACTGGAGGGACTCCCGCCCCAGGTCTTTAGGCTTTCATGTAGCTATGGTTACACAGCAGTTACATAGTATTGATGGACAGACACACAGCTCCATGGGACAGAACCCAGAACTAGACTCAAACAAATATACCCAAATGATGTTTCCCTTTTTCTTTTTCTCTTTTTTGGTGCTGGGGATGGAACCCACGGCCCTGCACATGCTAATCATGCACAAAACCTTGACTTAAACCTTGACCTAAACCTCACATCTTATATACAAATTAACTCAAAATAGGACTGCTCACCTAGCATGCTAAAAGCCCTGGTTATGATCCCAGCACTGCAAAAACAGAAGACAAATGAACAGAAACCAAGATAAACCATAGACTTAAGCAAAACATAAAACTATGCACCCAAAATCAATCTGTAAAAGGAAAAATTTACTTCATCAAAACCAAAGACTTTTGCTTTCCTACAGTCCCTGTTAAGAGGAAGACAAAACAAGTCACAGACAGAAACTACTCACAGACCACGTTCTCTGGGAAAGAGAACACACTGAGAACACACAGAACCCAACTAACGCAGTGAGCTGCACAGCAACGCGCACGGTCAGCACCGCTCACCCGAGAATGGCTGGGGCAACCTGCAAGGTCCCGCTCAGAGGCGGGCAGGGGGTTAAGATGGTAATTTTTAAAAACTCAACAGTTAGAAAATAAGCCACAGACATCTCACCAAAGAGCACACATACAGGTAACTAGACGGTCAATTGAGCAATGAGCTACCACAGAAACTCATACTGAAGCCACAAGGAGGTCTCGCCACAGATCTACCAGAATGACAAAACACAGCCCACCACGTGCTGGTAAGATGTGGAGAGCAGCCCCCAGACACTGCCGGCAAGAATGAAAAATGGTGTCACCAGGAAACAGCTGGGTACTTTCTTAGCACCAAACAGGCAGCTGCCACACAGCCGGGGCCAGCACCACCCTCCTGGGCATCTGTCCCAGAGGAACAAAGGCCACGTGCACAGACCCTCCATGCAGCTGGACTCCCAACAACCCAACTACAATCACCCAGGGTCCTCCACCGAGTGAATACTGGGCAGCCTACAGCCACAGCCCACTGCTGGCCATGGAAAGGGCTGAGCCACTGTCCACGCAATGACCTGGACGATCCCCAGGAAACTACGCTGGGCAAGACAGTTCCAACAGTTCCATGCTGCGGTCCTATTCACTAACACTCCTGGAAAGACAAAATTAAAGAGACCGCGAACAGACTTTCAGTTGCCAGGGTTCAGAAGAGATGTAGGTGTGGCTGCAGGACGCCAGCACCCTGACCACAATGCTGTATTCCTATATTCCCAAGATGTCACCACAGGGGACATGGGTGAAGACTGGGCAGGATTCTTCCATGTCATTTTTTGTGACAATATACTATTAATATACTGTGATCTACGAGTATCTCAAAATAAAATGTAAGACTTGCTATATAATTTGGGACGACATTTGGAAAATGCACTGAAGCAGCCGATTTAGTTTACTCCGCAGCAATCTACAAAGATCACTGAGCTAGAGACACTGCTGGAAGCACAGCTAACCCAGGTGTCCCAGCCCAGGTACATGGCACAGATGCCACAGGATGCAGGGAGCAGTCTAGCCATAGGCGGCCCAGGATCTCCTCTGCTGTCCCCACCCATAAAGGAGGAAAAGCAGGGTAATGATGGTGCCCAGGTGACAGATGCCATTCCTCTGTGGGACTGGACTAAAAATGGGAGGAAAGGTTCTGTGACTTCCCATCTTAAATTCATCACAACCTAAACCAAACTTTAGGAAGACATCTATGGAGTGAGTTCATGAGAAAATGGCACAAATGGCCCGATTCTATCTCTGACAGGTGCAAGTAGTCCAAAGCTCTGTCCAGCAAGGAGCCATGGCCTTCTGTGCACGAGCTCCTGCTCACCCACAGCAGGCCTGCTCACCTGAGCAGCAAGCAAAATGCAGACCACGGCACTTTCACGAGGCTCCAGAGGGCAGGGGGGAGCACAGGAACTCCCAGGAGCCCCCACTGCAGTTCCTTGCAGAGTCGCCCTCACTTCCAGATGAGTCCCACTTGTTCGCCTTATGTGACCAAGTAACTGGCTTATAAGGTCCACCAGACTAGGCAGCAGAGAGGAGCGAGGGAGGCAGCTGACACCAAGAACTCGGGGGCGGAAGGCGGGAGTGTCCTGAAGATGCACAGGTTCCACTGAGGTGGAAGGAGGGGAGAACAGAACTCGGCGGACAGAGGTTGGTGGGGGAAGCAGCAGCTCAGGCCTCGAGCCCCCAGAGCTGTCACATCAGCAATGACAGCATGTCCAAGAAAGAGAACACAGAAGCACAAAGAAGCTCCCGGCAGGCAGGGACCACACCCCAAAGGCAGGAGGGAAAGCCCGGGTCACCAACAGGGACACTGACACACAAGGCCTCCTGGGCCTCTCCTCCTCTTCAGGGGACAGGGAGGAAGGAAGACTGGAGTGATAAGAGTCACAGCGGGACAGCCTGGAAGGGAGGCAAGACCCACGTGGGTGACTGAGCACATTTGCCTGTTGGATGTCCTTCCTTTGAGAGTGGAAAACACACTCTTCATGTTAACGCCCTGACCTCCTCCTCCACTCAACAACGTCTCCTCAGCTCCACTAGGGCCAGGACCCTGATAAAGTGTCGGGCTCTCGTGCCTCTTTCCATAAACACCTGAGAGGTGTCTCACTGCTGATCACACCTTGGATAAGCCCCAGGAGGCCCTGGGAATGTGTGAGCATTAAGTACTGAACAAATGAGCAATTCTAGTAAGAAAACCTGAAATCACTGACTTCATTTGTTCCATATTAACACTGAAAACCACCTAAACCGATTTTTAAATTATACACTTAAAATCAAAAACAAAAACCCCTAGCTTTGTACATTACAGCACTATAACACCAAGAATTTAAGTGCACAAGTCTTCAAACAAAAAAAAGGTACTCATTCTCTCTTAGTAGAGGACCTGAATTAGAAGATTTTCTAAATACCCTCAGTATATTTAAGTTCTTGAAATGGAGTCAACATGAGACATTACCCACAGGACCAAGCCGGAACTTAAAAAAACCCTCCCCTCCCTATGGCACCGTGGCCTCCAGGATCCCATTGGCAGAGAGGGCCCATCCCCTAGGGATGAACCAGACAAGGTTCAAGGCCTGCACCTCCCAGCCTCTCTCTAGAGCTGCCTCAGGGTAGACAGTACCTTCCCTTCTCCAAGTCCCAGCACTCTGCCACCAAATGCCTTCCTTGCTGGCCACAGGCAAAGACCAAGTCCCACTTTTCTTTTGGCCCTGAGAAAGAAAACACCTCAACGTTCTTTGTTCAATATTTTTGAATCATGGAATAAAAATGTTAGCTAAGTAGCCTAAGGAGTCTCGCTCTCCCTGGCCTGTGTTTAGAGATATCTAAGGCCAAAGGATTCTACATAATGTGAGCCAAGAAAACCTAGCTTCCTAGAGGATTATGGGAAAGCAAAGCTGAGAAAAGTCGATATAACTTTAGTCTCTGGAATTTTTCAAACTCCAACCCCTAGTTTTCACCTACCTCTACAAAGTATATAAGAAACTCCTGAAAAACAAACAAAAAAACAGAAGCAGTCTAGTTTTATTTAAAAAATGACATCCTAAGCCAGTCATGGTGGCACATAACTGTAATCCTAGCAAATCAGGAAGCTGAGGCGGGAGGATTGGGAGGATCGAAAGCTCAAGGCTAGCCTCAGTGACTTAGTGAGGCCTTAAGAAACTTAGCAAGACCCTGTGTCAAAAGGGGTGGGGGGGACTGCAGGGCACGGTGACACAAGCCTGTAATCCCAGAGCTCTGGAGGCTGAGGCAGGAGGATCATGAGTTCAAAGCCAGCCTCAGCAAAAGTAAGGCACTAAGCTACTCCTAGTGAGGGCTGGGGATGTGGCTCAGTGGTCAGGTGCCCCCGAGTTCAATCCCCAGTTCCAAAACTACAACACCACCACCACCATGTCCCAGCTCTGTCCACTGCAAAGGCCTGAAAGCAATGCCCTCAGTAGCACTGAGCTAACCTGGCATCTAGATCTTAATTTGTAAATACATTCCCCACTGAGAAGGAACCTATGCTTTTGGAGAAGTGGTAGGATTACGACTCTGGAGCAAGGACAAGGCTAGGTGACTGTGAAGCACTTCCCACCCAAGAGGAATAACTGGCAGGACTATGTACGTCTGAAGGACACGGGAACCAGCCTGCAGGGGTTTCACCCTCCAACTCTGGGTTAATGTGAGCACCAGAAAGCAAAAAGAAGGCAGGGCAGTATAAACCATGGAATGCAACTAAGAAAAATGGTCAGGGTAAGAAATTTTACAGAAAAAAATGTTATCTAATAAATACAGAGGAATGTTGTGATCGGGAAATCATAAATGCTTGGTGTGGGTAGTCCCAGTGACTCAGGAGGCTAAAGCAGGAGGATCACAAGTTCAGGGCCAGCCTCTGCAACTTAGTGAAGCCCTAAGCAACCTAGTAAGACCCTGTCTCAAAATAAAAAAATAAAAATGTAGTTCAGTGGTAGATGTAGTTCAGTGGTAGAGCATCCCTGGGTTGATCTCCAGTACCACAAAACAGACAGAAAATAAATTTTACTCTATCAATGT